AATCGCAGAAAAATTCATAACATTTAAACGGGAATCTTTTTGAAAACCCTATCAATTCTGGATAACTGCACAGCCGAGCCGAAAACAGGCCATGACTTTCACAACTTGAAACAGAAAAGAGGTACAGTTGATAAATAAACGATAAACCAAATAAAATTATAGATTAAAATTTGTATAAAATGAAACTCAACTGTCTCTAGTGTATTTCCCGATATTTCATACGATCTGCACAATAGCAACGTTTACAAAGCCTTCATGCCAAGTCTCGCTGGCTGAACATTAGGATGGCGTCAAATTTTATCATAAAAGCACTATGGCACGGCAGCCGTACTGTTCCCAACGCCAACAGATGGTACTCAAACTCATTTTACAGAATACATATCACGTTCTACCTTATGACGAAAACATATGTACAAACTCTTTGGTAAAATAGCCCAGTATCTGAATAGTAATAAATAGTAATAAATGCGCAATGATTGGCAAAAGTGGTAATTTCACGTTATGGTACACAACTGAAATAAATCTTTGAACAAGTAACGTAGAAACTCTAGGCGATATAGCCCTAAACAAAAACGGGATAAATTTCATGTAAAACATCTGTGCAGTAGATGATAATGGAATGTTTACAAGGTAACAATGCTAAGCTTGAAATATGCAAAATAAACATAAATCTAACAAATTCTAACGAAACCGTTTTTCATTAATCTTGCCGTTCTGTCTTCGTTTCTTCTCCTTCGATCCGGTCTGCTAATTAGTCAATCACCCTGAAATTTAAACCTGTGTCATAAAGTGTTCACCATGACAGAGCTGTCATATCCTTTCCTGTTGAGTCGCGTTTGAAAGTAGCTCAGATGAAAGCGTATAAATCTGAAAATACGACGCACCAGTGCGGATAAAATGATTGTGTGATAAATTGTTTTATGAATTTTTTTCTCGCAATTGATAAGTGTCTAAAAAAGTTTTTAATTAATTAAAATAATTTAATAAAGATGATAGCATTCGTTGATCACATCCATGATAATTTTCGTTCGTATTCGCGAAATGGTAAAGATATTCTATGATTGTACACGATTAATCCGCCTGGAACGTCGTATGTCAGAGGCTTCACGGAAATACAGTACTACCGTATACACATACAAAAAAGGATACAACAGGCAACATCAGAAATAGCAAATAAAGCAAAGACGCAATATACTGTGAACATTACTGACGGCAACGGTACTTAAACGATGAAGAATTACGAAACAACGTCATTACCATATGCAGCTCGTGAAAACATAAAGACTCGCCTGAGCCCAACCAACCAACGAGTAGGTGAAACATAGACCATGCAGCATATAGAATGACTGACATCGAACTTTACCAGTACGAAAAACTCGATAAGGAATGGACCACTCAGTTCTCAGCTATTCCGCTGCAGACTGAGAAGGGGCGGGGAAGAAGCGTATGGCAAAGGAGCGTGGGCGAACCGCATCGCCCGCCCGCCCGTCTCTCC